GAACATACTTCTGTGATTTCAGCTCTTCCGTGAGGGCTTGTATTACCACCCAGGACACGGCCTGTGCTGGCGTGTATTAGTGGGCCCAGTGGGAAGGAGGGCCTGCAGTGCAGTGACCGCAGGGCCCCACCGTGAAAGCCCAGGCCTCTTCACCTACTTGAGCCTTGAAAAATAGTCAAACCGTATCTTGCCCGGGTGGGTTTGTGTTCTCGCTCAGACCCTGCGAGGTGGCCTGTGTGCCCATCATGAGCTCTGTGAGCCAGACCTGCATGAAACGCACCATGGGGGTCCCTGCCCAAAACCCCAGAGGGTAAGGGGTCCCACGTGAAACCCAGCAGGGTACAGGTTCCGGTGTGAAGGCCAGCAGGGTGCAGGGCTCCGTTTACCGTGGCTGATGGGCTCGAGGCACTGCTGTCCGCAGGAGGCCACAGGGTCGCCCCCAGGTCGTAGCCAAGCCTGAGCCCTGGGCTCCACCACAGCCCAGTGCAGAGCGCGTGCAGGCCGCAGGCCACCTCTGACCTGCTGCTATGAGGCCATAGCAGCTCAGGAGGTGGCAGCAAAAAGTCCAGGCGCCTGAAGGGACCTGTCTGGCCTGGGGCAGCAGGGCAGGTGGGACGCCTGGGGGCGGAGAGCCTGTGGCCGCCTGCTGCTGTCCTGAGAAAGTCTCGCGCTGCACCGAAGTAGAAAAGGGAGGCAGGCTTCAGGGAGCTGTGGGGAAGGTTCTGGAAATTGTGTTGGCCTGGGGCTGCGCTCCACACACTTAGGGAGTGGGCCACCTATGTGCGGCAGGCACCCTGGAAGGCGTGCGCATCTCCATGACACTGCGTCACACATGCCAGTCTGCACCCACAGACGGGCGGCCAGTGTGCAGGAGGCCCCAGGACTGATGGCTGGGTGCCGGGCGTGTCCTCCAGGTGGTCCTCAGAGCATGCCGGGCAGACCAGCCGCGGGGAGTTCATGGGAGCCCTGCGCTCTCGGGGCTGTGACTGGGCTGCGCGCCCCCCTATCCTGGGGCCCCAGACTCAAAGCTCTCAGGCTTCCTGGCTGGTATGCACCGCCTCCTGCCTATCCGTACGCTGCACAGGGGCCTTCCACACCGATCGGCCCAGGGAGCGTCTCCGAGTGCAGCCATAGCACAAGGGCACTCTCAGCAGGGCCGGGGCGGCG